TGGAGTACTGGTAAAACTAAAACTAAAACTAAAACTAGAAATGGAGTACTGGTAAAACCAAAACTAGAACTAAAACTAGAAATGGAGTAGTTGGTAGAACTAAAACTAGAACTAAAACAGAAAATAGAGTACTGCACAACACTACAGCCAAACTTATATTAGGAACTAAAAATAATAAAAATAATGATACAGATACATGTACATGTACAGGATTGTTACCTTCATCAGTGTGGCTAGGTCCTCCTAGAATGAGAGGGGCGTGGTCAATGCTAGAAAGTGGGGCAGTTTCTGCTTCATCGTCATCATCATCAAAATAAATTCTAAAATAAATAGAAAAATATAAAACAATATACAGTACATGTACATGTACATGTGTAACTTACGCCAAATGAAGAAAGGAATTCTTGTGCTGCAGTGGTTTGTGATTGTTGCTGTTGGTTCCTATTCATCTCTTCTTGTCTGGCTGCTTCTTCTGCTCTCCTTGCCTCGCTGCTGCCCTTCTTGCCTCCTCCTCTCTCTCTTCTTGTGCTCTTCTCTCGTTCTCTTCAGCCACAGCATCAGGATGATCCAATATCCATGTTATAATGTGGTCTAGTCTTTGAACACCTTGTACATCATTGGGTACTACACACCTACACAGGAACATAAGACATGTTAAAAATTAGATTTTCAAACTAATTTTATTTAGATCTAGCTGGGTGGACTTACTGGACTATCTAGATGTAGATTAATGATAGTTCCAAAGCACTTGCTGTTTTTTAAGAAAACTAATTTTTATAGTACGACTTGGGCCACTTGGCTATGAAATAATCTAGCAACTGACAACAGCCTCACCTCCTCCAACGAATAAATATTATATTTATTCATTGATTTATTGATTGTTTTATTTGTTGTTATTTATTAAAATTTTGTTGGGCTAAAAACCATGCTTAACACAATTACAGTGAATAATAATTATATAAATAAATCTAATAATAGCTATAGTGTTATAACTATGTAACAATAATAATTATTACATAATAATAGTTATTTTAGTCATAATAATTGGTTAAAATTTTGAAGGCTCTTAAGATAAAATGCTGCTAATAAATAAAACAAACTAAAAAAATAATTAAATACAGATTTCTTAATCGTAAATGTCATCATCATCATCGTCATCGTCGTCATCATCGTCATAATAATAATCAGAATAATCTGAATCAATTTCCCCTCCAGACACCATACTGTTGTTTCTCCTCAGCATGTAGTTGTCCATATCAATGGAGCGACAGTGTCTAATGGCATAACGTAATCTCTCAGCTAACACAGCCTGGGAGGAGTAGGGAGGTAATCTTAACTGGAAGAAACAAGTCTGGGCTGTTGGAAGACCATCTAAAGTCTATAATAATAAAAAATAACAACAACAACTATAGTAACAATAACAACAACAACAACAACAATAATAATAAT